TCCCTCCCTTGCTTCTAGGCAAGGACAATTAGCTCAGAAGGAGCCAAACTGTCTGGAACAAACAAGTAGCACCCCCCCACCCCCCAGTAAGGTGACCAGACGTCCGCTTTTGGCCGGACAGTCCCGATTTTTAACAATTTGTCCTGGGTCCTGCAGCGTTTTCAAAAAGCCCAGATTTTTGGAAAGAATGCAAGACAAACTAGGGAACACCGGAGAACAGGAAGGGAATATACGGTTTTCGGCTGCCATGTGGCTATTTCACCAGGATATGCATTTTATAATGTTAAACTTTAATAATAACAAATAATTGTTGAGAACTGATTATCGAGAACTGCTAATCAAAGTTTGCATTGTTGTCGGAGCCGCCCCCCCCCCCCATGGTGTCCTGCTTTACCAATGTTAAAATCTGGTCACCTTAGATATTGAAAACGCCCGCCCCTCTGCAAGGGTACAAAGGCTCCACGTTACCCGCTTTCACGGCCCATTGAAGTTTTCCTCTGTAATCATGATTTACGGGAGTTTCTGTTGGCCGTCAGTCCCTGCGCTAGTCTGTAAACAAGCCTCCCACCCTGTCGATGTCCCCGGCTTGGGCTGCAGGTCTCACTGAGGATGGCGGAGGCGGAAGGGCAGACAGGCAGATCTGGGGCAGGGCCCCACATTCCGCCCGCGCAGCAGGAGCCGCTGCAGCCCGCAGGTGGTAGTCTTGGGCTTCCTCCGGGTGTCAGGGAGCCCAGGACAAGAGAAACAGGGTTCCAGGCAGTACAAGTGAGGGCCAATGCTAAAGAAAGGCAAGGGGGCTGGCCCACAGTCGACTCCTAGAGGGTAAGAGGGGTCAGGCCCATCCAGAAGAGCAGCTCCCGGGAGCAGCTCCTGTGACTGAGGAGACCCCACCCGCAGAGGGAAGAGCTGCACCCAAAAGAGGGGAGGGCTGAGCAGTGATAAGGTGGAAAAGCTCAGCAGGCCTTGAGCTGGGAGAAACAAAGAATTTCTCTAGGGCAAGATTAGGATGTAAAAATATAGGCCTACGGCTTGGTGCCTGTGGCTCAAGTGGCTAAGGCGCCAGCCACATACACCTAAGGTGGCGGGTTCGAATCCCCAGCCCGGACCCGCCAAACAACAATAATGG